GCCCAACAGCAGGGTTTTTGCTGAGTGGTAGCTGTCAGGGGCCAGGGGGACGGGGGTGTTGGTGGTCCAGAGTAGTCTGTGCACCTGGAAAGGCCAACAGCCACGGCGGGGGGGGGTCCCAGACACAGGCCTGCCCCCCAACAGTCACTGCTGAGGCTCCCCAGGCACGGAGGGGAGGCAGGCAAGCAAGCAGGGCTGGGGAGGGCACGCTCCAGGAGGGCTCCGCTCCCGCCGTGGGTGCAGGGCAACCGCCCCTGGACACGGACAGCAAAGGCCTCTTGGGTGGTCTCCCTGCCTCCAGCCTGCTCTCTACGCTGCTCTTCACAAAAGGCAAAAGTGCCCACCCCACCCTCGGGGAAGATCCCTCCCCGGCTCCAGCACCCCCAGGAGCAAGCCTTTCAGAGTCCTGCTGCCTGGCCAGCTCCCCCTTCGGCCTGGGCACCTTCCATGCATGATCTCATTACATTCTCTCCCCGCCCCCGGCCTCCATAGAACCCCATTCTACATCCGGGCACGGTGGGCCTCTAGCAGCGTCTCTGGCCTCCACCTGCCAGTGGCCAGGGAAGCGTGTCCCCAGTCAGGGCCGCGAATCTTGCCCAGTGTTCTCTGGGAGGGCATAATAGCCCTGCTGAGAACTGCTAATGAACTCCACTAATGGCTTACAAAAGTTAAGAGAAGCACACTTAATAATTAATATCATTCAAGTTATCGGTATGTACCATCTCAGCAGGTGTGGCCAGTTTTACCTGCCCACGGATCTCAAATCCACCCACTTCCTGCCTCTGCTATCGCGGCCACCCTTGTCCAAGCCACCGTCACGTGGGCAACTACCTCCGTTTCCTACCGGGTGTCCCAGCTGCTGCCCCGGGCCCAGCACACAGCAGCCCACCAGGTTTCTAAAACCGTCCGTCCGTCTGTCGCTCCTCTGCCCGGCTTCCAACTGCCCCGAGAATCAAACCCTAACCCCAGCTCTGCCATCTGGACCCTGGCTCCACCCTCTCTGCCTCTTCCAGCCCCTGGCCCCCCGCAGGGTGTCCTGGGATCCGCAGCCCCCGCTGCCTGGAAATGCAGCCGCTGGACCACCCTGCAATTTCTCTGCATTGCTTTGCACCTGTGAGTCTGGAAAGGGCTCCTCTAGCTCACGCCCCATCATCATTGGCTCCTGCACACCTGTCACTTAAATGTCATTTCCCCATGGAGGTTTTCAAACCAACATCTGCAGTCACCCCATGCAACCCCATTTCTTGGCACCTTCCACAGCTGTGCTCGCACCTGGCAATCATCTTGTTTGCTGGTTTTATGTTTGCTTCTCTCCCCCACCCACAATGGCCCATCCCAGAGGTCCGCTCAGTGGGGCCTGGTACAGGCAGATGGTGCCAGGCACACAGAAGCAGCAGTACCAGGGGCTGGCACTGTGGCAGGGCGGGTAAAGCCGCCACCTGCGATGCTAGCATCCCATGTGGGCACCAGTTCGAATCCTGGCTGCTCCTCTTCCGATCCAGCTCTCTGCTAATGGCCTGGGAAAGCAGTGGAGGTTGGACCAAGCGCTTGGGCTCCTGCACCCACATAGGAGGCCCAGATGGAGTTCTGACTCCTGGCTTCATTGTGGCCATTTGGGGAGTGAACCAGTGGATGGTAAATCAACCTCTCTCTGTCTTTCCCTCTTTGTTATTCTTTCTTTCTTTTTAAAAGATTTCACTTATTTCTTTGAGAGGTAGAGTGACAGAGGGAGAGACAGAGGCCTTCCATCCGCTGGTTCACTCCCCAAATGGCCATAACAGCTGGAGGTGGGCGATCCAAAGCCAGGGTCATCAAAGTCGGTTCATCGCTGAGAACAGACAGTAAGGGAAGCGCCGAGGGCCTGGCTGGCCGTGACCTTGCTCCTGGGACTACAGCCTTGACCTCTGCACAATACCACCTTCTTACGTGTAAACCAATCAGCACAGCACTCCACACTGGGCAGAAGGAGCCTACAAAGCAAAGACTTCGGCCTTGGGGAACAGTGAACCCTTCGCACGTTTCTTCGCTAAGTGACATCTTTGTGTTGGGAATCCGTAAGCGAGGTCTGTGGGTCCACATGCTGGCAGACTGCTGATGGGAACCGTCCGCCTGCAGGCAGGGGCGACGCGGGGGCTACTCCACTCAGGAATCGGCCCGCATCTCTGTGCCCTCTGTCGGGCTGGCACGGCTCCAGCCTCAGAGCCACCGGGCAAATATCCACCCCCCACCCCACCCCCACCCCCGCCCCGGGATCTGCTGCTTTGTCTCCACAGCACTTCCTGCCTGTCTGCCCCCAGCCTCCACTCCAAGCCATACAGGAAGTCGCCTCCCTGGGTTTCGTCCTTTACAAAGGGAAGGCGGGGGTTGGGGGTGTCTCAACTTTGCAAATGAAGTGCCTGAAGCTCAGAGGGGTGAAGTAGAAGTCACACAGCGGATCAGAGAAGACCCTGGAACTCTGCAACTCAGCGTGGTGCTGGCACACCAAGGACCACGTGCACCGACGCTCCCTGAGTGCGAACGGTGTGCCCTCAACTGCGCTAACACCTGGCCTGCTTGATCTCAACAGCCCCACCGGGGTGGGTGCCACGACTGTGCCCATTCTGCAGATGAGAAAACTGAGGCTCACAGAATGGCACACCCTCAACGTCCCACAGCCAAGACAAGAGCAGGGATTTGACTCCAGAAGGGACACTCTCTGGCTTCCGCCACACGTTTTTAACTCACAAACTGGCCCCTGTGGAGTTTCGGGCAGGCAGCTGCATGGTGCGGTTTGATGGTTCACCCTTTATTGATGTTTTCAACCCAAAGGCAACAGAGCAACTTGAAAAATCCACACTGTGGCTCTCAAGACTCAGGCCAAAAAGAAAACAAACACAAACTAAGCACACATAAGGGATGTTTGTTCACCTTGAGCCCAGCCTTGTCCGGCTCCTGCCGCCGCGCCGGCCTCTAACCTGCAGGCTGGGTTGGTGCCACGAAGCCCACAGCTCGCTCAGACACAGCCCGGTGGCCGAACCGGGGCTCCTGGCGTGGAGCAAAACGGGATGGCTAGGAAGCGGCACCTGGGAGCAAGGCTCTGAGGGTTTTACACGAGGGAATCCAAGAGATCACTTCGCAGGGGGCCTCGGGTTCCCTGGACAGGGTTCAGAAAGGCTGTTTTGCAACACCTGCTGGGAGCTGGCCCGGCACTTCCTGGAGGGCAGCCGGGAGCCCTGCCCAGCAGGGTCACAGACAGAGCAGGTGACAGGACGCCAGGCTCGCGGCATGCAGGGTGCCGCTGACCCTGCTCGCCCTCACAAGACGGCCTCCACGTTACAGAGCAGGGCCGGCCCTCCTGGAGCAGGGCGGGTCTCCTTCCCCTCTGTACTGCCCTGCGCCCCCCGGAGCAGCAGGTGCACTGGGCCCTTTCCTTCCAGCTCCTCCTCTGTCGAGTGAGCGGCGTGACCTTGGCGAGCGGGCTGGCCCTGAGCCTCCGGCGTTTGCTCTGGAAATCAGGATAAAAGAGCACCTCGCCCACAGGGTTTAAATGAGGATTAATTTAGGTAATTCGGGCTGAGCACCCCTAATCTGACCATCGGAAAGGCCAGACGCCCCAAAATTCCAAACTTCCTGAGCACTGCCAAGGCGGCCCGAGCCGAGACTCCCACACACCCCACCTCCCCGACAGGGCGCGCTCGGAACGCAGGTGCACTGAGAACGCGGTAGGACATCACCCTCAGGCTCTCGGGAGAAACTAGGACGCGGGAATGAATTTCGCGATGACGCTTGTGTCCCCTCCTCAAAATATCTCATCATGTACGGGTACGTGCAGATATCCCAAAATCTCACTGAGCGCTTCCGCGGTCAAAGTTCTGGGAGGGAGGAGGGAGGGCCATCTTCATCATCATACAGATGAAGGGCTGAGTTCAGAGAGGCTAAGTGACTCCCACAAAGATGCACAGCTGATCGCGGCAGCGAGGGACGCTGAGTGTGTAGGAGCCGCACACTGCATCTTGTCCTAGGACTAAACACACACCCACAGGCGGGTTCAGCCGCCGCCTGGGACTCCTGCAACCATCCTGGAGCGCTGGTTCACGTCTCCGCTGCTCCACTTCCGATCCAGCTCCCTGCCAATGTGCCTGGGAGGCAGTGGAGGACGGCCCAGGTGTTGGGTCCCTGCCACCCCACCGTGGGCCACCTGGCTGGAACTCCTGGCTCCTGGCTTCAGCCTGGCCCAGCCCTGGCTGTTGTGGCCATTTGGAGAGTGAGTCAGCAGACAGAAGATCTCCCTCTCTGTTACTCTGCCTTACAAATAAACGAATCAGGCTTAAAAATAAATAAATAAACACATACTCCAAACCACCAGCGTGCTGTCTGTATCACACCAGCTCCTCCACATAAGGCCTGAACCGTCACTCTCCGGAGGCAGCCGGGGGCAGAAGCCCAGTTCCACCTGATGCCCGGTGCCCGGTGCCCGCTGCAGGCAGTGAGGGCGCCCCGCCCTCCGCCCCAGCACTGCAGGCCCTGGGCTGCCCGCCACGCGGCCAGGATCTGCCTGCTGACTGAGGCCGCTTTGTCTCTGGCTTAGAGCTGGTCTCACGGATGGTCAGGAGACAGCCCTGGGGCCAGACTTGACCCAATTAGGCTTACACTTTTGAAAAAAAAAAAAAAAAAAAAAGGACCCACAGTTGAGTGCCTGGCATCTTCAAAGACTCAGTTGTCCAGGCCAGAAGAGGCTTCAGCAGTGAGAACCGGGCCGTGGGCAGCCTGGGCCGGGCAGCGGGTTGCCTGAGGCGTGCTCCACAGGCGGCCCCGCCCCAGCCTGCTGGCTCTGGGCGGCCGGGGCTCTCTGCTCACATTAACGAATGATTTGTCCGCAGCAACACGCACAGATCTCAGCACACAGCCGATGGGTTTTGACAACCGGATTTGTCCATGTAGCTACCGCCCGCATCAAGGTATAAACTGACCCTGGCCCCAGGAGAAGTCCTGAAGGTGCGCCCCCTTCCCTCCACGCTCACCCTGCTCTCTGCTGCTGTCGGTCCAGTTCAGGCCAGTGGAATCCTGCAGTCCGGGCTCCTGCGTTTGCCCCTGCTCCCCCGGGGTGGGCTGTGCAAGCCCCTTTGCTCCCCGTCTTCCCGAGGTTCACTGTGCAGTTACCGGGCGGGGTGTCAGCCCGTTCACCAGCTGATAAAGAGGCTCTCTGGGCCGGCTCCCGGGGGCTGCTGAGACGACCTGCGTCCCCGTCCACGAGGGCAGACGCCTGCTCTTCTTTCCTTAAACACCCAGGGCCAGGACGGCAGGGCCACAGGAGGAAGCGCCTCCGGCAGCCCTCTGCCCGGTGCTGCCGCCTCCCAGGCCGGGTGCGGATCCTCAGTCCGCCCCGTTGGAAGGCCTCTGTCTGGGTGAGCAGCTCCTGGAGGTGCCAAGCCCTGCTCTGGGTCACCGAGGACTCGGGCTTCCTAATGAATGGCCCTTGAGTCATCCCCCACTGGGATTCACATTCAGCTGCCAGAGCTGGGCTGGCTCCGGGTGGTTTGTTCTGACTAATGGTACCAGCTGCTCCTCCCAGGGCGAAACGCAGTGCGCTGGCTGCCAAGGCTTCCAGCGGGTTTCAGGCCCCTTATCCTCCGGGCTACGGGCTGACTGTGCCGTTCAAACACACCCCTCAGCGTCCCCCTACCTGGGACCCCAAGGGCACCAACACCAATCTGACAGAAGCAATAGAGCCTGGTGCTGACACAAATCCGGTGGCTCTGGGCTGTTTTACCTTTCTGAGCCTCAGTTTCTTCATCTGTCAAATGGGCATGCTCCCCATACGACCGAATGATGCCGCTGTCTATGAGGTGTAGAAAGGCAGGCCGTGCAGCAGATGGGGTCGGGAGGCGGAGGAGCCAGCACCTGAGGCCCTGCTGTTCAGTGGAGGACCCTTGTAGCCCCGGCACTGGGGTTTGCTAAGGATCCAGATTCTCAGGCCCTAGCGGGGATCCAGAGAACGGGGATCTGCTGCCCCGATGTTCCCTAAGCTGGGGAGCCTCATCCCAGGGCACGGTTATTACTAGGTTATTACTAACCACCATCGTGCCAGACTTGATCTCGCTTCCTCTGCAGCTTCGGGGAGGGAAGCCCCTCCCCATGGTCCTCCCTCCCTCTCTTCAGCCCCATCCGTCTCCTCCAGGACGCTCTGGGTGGGCCTCCTCGCCCAGCTCTGTATGGCACACAGCGGGGTCCCCGGACGGCCCCCACTCTGCAACCCAAAGGAGGGGGAGAGGGAAGCAAGCGACTTCCCCTCCCCCAGGCTCGGTTTCCTCCTCTGTAAAGGGAGGCCCTGGCGGGAGCTCCCTCAGCGCAGCACTGGGGGGCTCTTGGGACACCATGTAAGGCAGGTGGCCCGGGCTGCCCGCAGTGAGCGCTCCGGAACCTGGGTGCTCTCTCCTCCTCCTCCTCCCCCCCACCATGCCACCTGCTCCCTGGTCTCCAACTGGCAGCCCGAGGATGGCATTGAAGCGGCCCTGGCCTTCGCGGTGGCCTTTGTGTCATGCAATAAGGAGGGGTGCTGCTTCTGACAGCGTGAGTAACTGCACGCGCAGGACCCGACAACCTGGTAACTCTGGTGCCGTTGGTTTTGCCACAGTCACCACCGCTCCCTGCTGCCTCATGCCTCCCCTGCGGGCTCCTTGGAGGGTGTGTGCCTTCCCCGCCCAATTCCATACTTACTGGGTTTCCAGCTTCTCCCCAAAGCCAGGAATTCTCCCAGGGATTCTTCCTGGCCCCGCCCACCACCGCTCCCACGACCAGCTTCTCTGAGCCCTCCCCAGCCCCAGCAACACCAAACCTGCAGCCTCCATGTCCGTCTCAACCCCGGAGGAGTCACTCAGGGCACCGAACTAAGTCCCAGCTCCTGGGGAGGGTCCCGACCAGCCCCGGTGCTGGGGTGCCGTGTGCAGGGCCCTGGGCCGGGTACCGAGGACCCCAGGGCTCTCCGGGGAGGGAGACCAGAGCCCCGTCAGGGACGCAGACCTGCTCTGGCCTCCACCTCCCCTGTCCGGCTCTCCCTGCGCCTTCTCTCGGGGGCCTCTGGTCTCCCCGGGCCCTGACAGCGCAGGCCACGTGCCTCAGCCAACCGTGCCGGTCCCGGACGCCTACGCGAAGCAGGCAGAGCCGCACGCCAGGGCTTCTTGCTGCCACCCCAGACTTCTCTGCGGCTCCCCTAACGCTGAGCTCACAAGGTCAGCTCATCTCTGTGGACTTCACGCATCCCTCATCTCCACGGACGTTTCCTGGGTGCCCTGAACACGGAGTCAACGAGACGAAGGCCGGGTTGCTCTGAACTCCTGGGTGCTGACACCCAGGAGAGTCCCTGAGGTCCCCTCTGAACACAGGGGCGGAGGAGAGAAAGCCTGCTCTCCCGGAGCTGCTCTTCACCGGAGAGACACACAGGCACGGCGAGACGGCCAGACCGGCAGCAGAGCAGTGTCGGAGTGGGGGGCGGGGGCCGAGGGAGACCCCTCACAGACGGCAGCGAGGTGGCAGCGCAGCAGATGTGGGGCGTGGGGGAGTCCCAGTCGTGCAAAGGCCCTGGGGCATAAATAACTTGGACATGGGCAAGGCAGGGGGCAGCAGGGAGCCCGTTAGGAGCTTTATTGCCCGTGCCCAGGGTCAAGGCCGACAAGTGGATACGACCTTGTGGTTGGATTTGTACTTAGGACTGGAAGACGAGGGGGTCGGGGGATTTTAGCCTCAGGAACTGAGTGGACGGTAGGGCCCTGTTACAGACTGAATGCTTGTGTGTACCCAAAATGCACACGCGAAAGCCCTCATCCTCCGTGTGACAGTATTAGAGGCGGGGCCGGGGAAGGTGGCAGGGGTTGGATGAGGTCGTGAAGGCGCGGCCTGGGCTCGGGGATCAGTGCCTGCTCACGCTCTCTCCATGCGGGCGCCAAGGAAAATCCACAGGAGCACAGCGGGCAGGAGGCCGCGCGCGAGGCCGCACCCAGGCCCACCAGCCTCCAGGACGGCGAGAAAACAGTTTCTGCTGTCTGCGTCCCCCCCACCCCCTGCCCAGTCCGTGCCCCAGCAGACACTCCCCCAAATACAACAGCCAGGGGCCAGGAACTCCATCTGGGGCTCCTACGTGGGTGGCGGGAGCCCGAGTGCTTGGGGCCAGCACGTGCGCCTCCGCAGGTGCCTTAGCAGGAAGCAGAGCAGCCAGGTCTGTGGCCGGGATGCTGATAGGAGACGCAGGGGTCCCACTCGGGGACCGGCCCCGCCCCCGCCTTTCATCAGAGATTGCCCACGCACCTTTGTCTCTGGGCCTCTGGCCAGTGCTCAGAGCTGCTCCCGGATTTCTGACCACTCAAATCCTCCTTCCCTCCCCACCCCTTCCAGCTGAACAGCAAATCTCTGTTTTTTACTGCGGCCCTTGCGGGCGTTGGGAATAACAGCTTCTTCAAGGGCGCACTTGTGAGTGGCGCTAATGCTCCACTTACGAAACGCCTGGCCCGGGACGAAGGGCCTGACTCACCGCGGAGCGAGCGTCAGGAACGCCTGCCACCCCTTTCCCGAGAAATGCGGCTCCGGCTCCGCTGCAGGCCACAGCCACGCAACCTGCACGTCCTGGCTTCCGGGGAGCCGGCAGTGGAGCCGCTGCCCTCGGCGGCACTTCCACCCACATCTCTGCTGCCGCCCGTGGTTTCCCGTGATCCAGCTCCCGACTAGGAATTCTGACACACGCGGAAGCCTGAGACCACTCGTGGGGGCCCGTACAAGCCGTCCTCAGGGTGGGCGCCGGCCTCGTGGTGCAGGCGCAGGCTAAGATGCTGGGATCCCTTCCTGGAGCGCCTGGGTTTGAGTCCCGGCTCTGCCCCCAATTCCAGATTCCTGCTTAATGCTGACCCTGGGAGGCCGCAGGGGATGGCTCCAGAAGAGATCTGGGCTGAGTTCCCAGCTTTGACCTGGCCCAGCCCTGGCCCTGTGGCCATCTGGAGAGTGAGCCAGAGGGCGGAAGCTCCCTCTGTCTTTATCTTTGTCTCCCAAATAATATATATATTTTTTTACAGGCAGAGTAGACAGTGAGAGAGAGAAACAGAGAGAAAGGTCTTCCTTTGCCGTTGGTTCACCCTCCAATGGCCACCGCGGCCGGTGTGCTGCGGCCGGCGCACCGCGCTGACCTGAAGGCAGGAGCCAGGTGCTTCTCCTGGTCTCCCATGGGATGCAGGGCCCAAGCACTTGGGCCATCCTCCATTGCACTCCCTGGCCACAGCAGAGAGCTGGCCTGGAAGAGGGGCAACCGGGACAGAATCCGGCGCCCCGACCGGGACCAGAACCCGGTGTGCCGGCGCCGCAAGGCAGAGGATTAGCCTAGTGAGCCGCGGCGCCGGCCCCAAATAATAATTTTTAAACAGCCTTTCTCCCTTAGCGGCAGCTCTGGGTAAAGACAGTGGCGACTGCGTGACCACCCTTGGTGACGTAGCTGCCTAATGCCACTGAAATGCACACGTCACTCAGGAGCCACACACAGGGTCCACTGAAAGGAAACGGCCAGAAAGGCAGGAAGCTGATAAGGGTTTGCCAGCAGCTGAAGGGAAAGAGGAGTGGGAAGTGACTGCTTACCGGGTATGGAGCTTCCACATGGAGTGCTAGAACATTCCGGAACTAGCCAGAACTGCTGGTGGTCTACCACTGTGAGTGTTTATACTAGGTGCCACCAAATGGTTGTCTTTTTATTTATTTATTTATTTTATTTTTTGACAGGCAGAGTGGACAGTGAGAGAGAGAAACAGAGAGAAAGGTCTTCCTTTTGCCGTTGGTTCACCCTCCAACGACCGCCGCGGCCGGCGCGCTGCGGCCGGTGCACCACGCTGATCCGATGGCAGGAGCCAGGTGCTTCTCCTGGTCTCCCATGGGGTGCAGGGCCCAAGCACTTGGGCCATCCTCCACTGCACTCCCTGGCCACAGCAGAGAGCTGGCCTGGAAGAAGGGCAACCGGGACAGAATCCGGCACCCCGACCAGGACTAGAACCTGGTGTGCCAGAGCCGTAAGGCGGAGGATTAGCCTATTGAGCCGCGGCACCGGCCAAATGGTTGTCTTTAAAATGGTTAATCTGGGGCCAGAGTTGTGACATCTCAGATAAAGATACTGCCTGCAGCACCGGCACCACATGAGCACCCGTTCCTGCTCCAGCTGCTCCACTTCCGATCCAGCTCCCTGCTAATGCACCTGGGAAGGCAGTGGAGGATGGCCCAAGTGCTGGGGCCCTGCACCATGTGGGAGACCCAGGTGAAGCTCCTGGCTCTGGCCTGGCCCAATCCTGGCTATTGTGGCCATTTGGGGAGTGAAATCAGTGGATGGAAGATCTCTCTCTCAACTCTGCCTTTCAAATGAATCTTAAAAAAAAAATGGTTCATCCACTGTTAGCTGCATTTCTGAGGTTTGACGTCCTACGTCTGCGAGTCGGCACTGACGGAGGCGCCGTGCTGACGTCACCAGCACCGTGAGGCTTCGTCCTTGCCATCCCAGGAAGGTGCCGTCATGGTTGCCTGTTAATGAGCGTGGAACCCAGGCAGTCCGACTCCACCCATGCCTTTCACCCCACACCAAGGTGCCCAGGACACTGCATCACTTCTTTGTGTGGAGGACAGAAACCAGGCAGCAGCTGGGGCAGCCCGGCACCGACGCCCTTCAGCACTGTCAGAGGGCAGCGGAGGCCAGGGGCTCGGGCTTGCTCACCGGCCGTCACCCCAGGCCTCCTGAGATAGAGCCCACGCGC